TTGGGGATTTGGCATTGCTAGAGTTAGATGAGCCAACAAGAAAACATGCAATGGCTTCTAATTGCTCAATAGGAATAAGAGGCTTCATCAGATATATTGCTCCAGGTAACTCAAATTTGATGTTCTCCATGTTCTTCACATGATAGTATCTAATTATTAGCTAGCCCTGTGCACATGGAATTTCTTCTAACTTCTATGCATGTTTATGTGTGCTCCAAATTACTCCACATCCAAAATTTTTCATTTCAACCTTTGTAGTGATGCAAACCGCAAAATGTATCTCTCATTTCAACCTTTGGTTTACCCTTCCGATCCATATTCTTTCTTGTTCATTAGAAAAATTATTAAATCATTTATTTTATTTAGTGTCCCTGCGCTGCGGTGTGTGTTGTAGTGCCTTGCGGTGTGTTGCGTCCATCCTTCTTCTCGATCTTGCCTCCATCTACTCTCCCAGTCTTTTCGTTCGCCTCCTTGTCCTGTTGGCCTACTACACCCGGCACCCCACACTAGGTTGTTGATCACGCCACATCCAAAACTTTTCACTTTGGATTGTTAATAAAAAACACTAAATAAAAAATAGATGACTTACTAATTTTTCTAATTTTTTGAAGATTTATTTAATTAATTTTATCAATTTAAAGAGTAAAAGTGTGGTTTATAATTTTTTCAAGTTAATATACTTTGTTTGCATAAGCTTTTTGTGTGAAAAATGATTTTCTAAAATTCAGTTAAGTCACAGTTAGTATTGTTAGATTTTGGAAAATAAAGCCTAAAAAATGTTTCAAAACTAGTTCGAAAATCAGTTCGGCTTTAAGTAGAAAAAGTTTTAAAATGTCTTTCTAAAAATGTTTTAGAAGTATGTTTAAAAAGTTTAAATTTTAAAATGGTTTACAAATATTCTCAAAATAAGTTTCAATTTTAGTCTCCATTTTTAAATGGTATGTTTAGCTTTCAAAATTGGTTCTTGGAATGATCTTTTAAAAATATAGTTTCAAAAATGATTTTCTAATATGTTTGAGAAATATTAGAGATTTCAAATGGGTTTAAAATTACAATTTTAAAATATAATTAGTTATAAAAGTTTGTGAGTTTTCAAACTTAAATTGTTTTAAAATCATTTGGAGAAAATGGTTAAAAAAATCAATCATATATATAAATAAAAAACCTTTCTTTTTTGTTCCTTCCGCCCCTCTTTTGGCCTTCTTCAGCTTGTGGCCCATGTCCGGCCCCCCCCTTCATCTTTTTTCCAGCACGTAGGTCGCCTCGCGCTGGCGGCCCAGCTAGCACAGCAGCAGGTCCGCCCGCCTCTTGTGTCTTTCCATTTTCCATTATTTCAAATACATTCTATAGTAGATAATCCAACTGTAGTTTCTTATATACAACCTGTCAGCTCTTCAGAAGTCTTCCGGGGCTTCAAATTGAAGGAGAAGTAGACAACAAAGAATCCAATTGTTGTTTCTCATATATTTTCCAGGATCATTGCAATCATAGGGAACAAAAGCACTGTTAGATTCATACTAACATTTACCATAATCTTTTCTAATGAACAATGAATTTGTAATGAGAAGTGAAATCTAGATTTGGTTGGCTTGAGAATCTGTGATTAATTATATGCTTGTGATCATTTGTGTTAAAGTGAACGTCTAATATTATTTGAGTGGATGTATAAATATTATAGTGCACAAATATGGGTTATATTGGTGGTAGTATGGGGATAGACCTGGTACAGTCAATTCCTGACGGCCTAGTTACCTTTTCCTGCCGGATTGGAACGACAGGAAAAATGCATGATTCCTGTTGGGGTGTTTTCGTGATGGGATTTTCTGAGAATTATATTGACAAGAGCTCTTGGCCAGTCAACCTAAACCGTCACGAGCTGTCTGTCAGGAAAATATGGTTTTCCTGTCGAGCTGTTCCCATCTGTTGTTTCCTAACTGCCAGCCCCATAAAAAAATTATATCCTGACGGTTTTTAGGCTCTCCTGTCAGTTTTCGGCCATGAGGAAAAACTGTAGTCAGATCATCCCCATCCCTTTAAGCGAACTTCGGTATGGCGGGCCTCCCATTCGATTCGAGCAAGAGTGCGCATGCCGAGGAGACCACAGGACTATGTTTTTTTTCCCTATCGCGACAACCCAAACCCGCCTCCCCTCCTTTTTCGTGTTCAATCGATGTAAATAAACTCGTGCCCTTCTCTCTCCAACATGCCCCACCAGCTGTGTTACCCGTGGTGTTGCCCCTCGCACCCCCGCACGGCTTTCGTCAAGACCTTTCCTAGCTCCACCGGCCCGCCTCCCCGGGACACCATCAGCCGCCCATCCCCGTATGATGTATGCCATGCTGCCACTAGGCCCAACATGCTGTTACGCGCCGCCACCATACCCTTGAGCTCACCAGTCACCAAGAACCGCTGCACCTTTTTGCCGTGGCCGGCCGTTGGCCGCAGGTGCCATTTTCTGGACATAAAGAACCACCTGGAGGAGTCGCAGCTGCGCTGCAATGCCGGAGAGCCACTTCGCGCCTGTCCTCATGGACCCCAGCCAGAGATGAGTCCTACGCCGACCGTGCGCCCGCCGTTCTGACTTCTGAGGAGTCATTGCACCGGAACTAGGTTGCTGACGGCATTTGTTGGAAGGACGCTTCCCAGCCATCCAACACAAGATCAATGAATCATTTATGTTCCTTCGGGCGTGTGTGGGATTTAACTCGAGGCAGACGATTGACCAAAGCATGATTAGCGGAGGGACGGGGCAAGGAGAATGATCCACATCCACCGCATGCGAGGGTGAGGCGAAGACCGTGACATGCATGAGGAAACAAGTTGTGAAGTGGTGACGCTGCGGATTGGCAGATTGACCGTAAGACGGAGGAGGCGATGCTTCATTTGTTACATTCCCAAAAAAGGTGGTACATATCATGGGAAAGTTGCATTGGTACTACTTCTCTTCCTATTTTAGTGGATTTCAAAGAAGTGAAACACTTTTTCTTTAATATAAAGTGTTTATATGGAACTCACGTGACGCTGACCGTGGATCTTGAGCTCTGCCAAGCCTCACACGCCTTGGCGCCCCTTCCCCCCCCCCCCACCCTCGCCTACCTACCACTGACCTAGTCCAATCGTCTCCACCACCGCTAGGGCCCCTAAACCGCCCATCGGCCTCCCCACTTTGTGCAAGGCCTGCCTCCCTCCAACCCCTTTCCTTCTAAGGCCATGGAGTTTGGGAAGAAGGAGGGGCTCATCGGAACCCTAATGCGGGAGGAGAAGGCCTACCTGCCGGATCCGCCATGGCTGCACGGGTGGGGGTGTAAGTCTTGAGGGAGGCGGTGGAGGTTGCCAGTGCGGCCGTGGGGAGAGCTGCCCGTGGCCTTGCAAAGGTGGATCTCGTCGAGAGAGAGAGAGAGGGGAGAGAGGGGGTGGGGAAGAAAGGGAGCCAAGTGCGGCGTGCGTGTGTGCGAGTGGCGGGCGATGGATAAAAAATGGCCGATCAAAGCGAAGTCATTACCAAAGTATACATAAACACAATTTCAAAAAAAAAGTATATATAAACACAGACAAAAGACATCCCATCAGGCTGCTCCTATTCATCAGTTCATGAAATTGGACAGGAAATGTTGCAGTAGTGGTACTAGCTAGATATCACCCCAAATTAGTGAACAAGAAGTTCATAGTAGATCGTTGACACATGCTCATATGCACACACATAATGTGAATCTTCCTGCTCCCTAACATTTTTTGCATGAGTAACAATTTGGTTTGCATATTTTAACAAAATACTTGTTGCATGATATCAAGAATTGTTGTTCCTATTTCAGACACATAGCACTATAAAACCCCATTTTCCCTGGGAGATGGCAAACACATTAGCAGTTTCTGCACAAAATAGAAGGATTGCCTTAATTGGTTTTAGAGACTGTTCATATGCAGCACAAAGTAAACTAAATAGGGGAAGTGAGAAGTAGGAGGAAACCTATGATGTTTATTGGTTTTGGTGAATATGATAGGCTAATCAACTGGGCGAAATCAGAAGTGTACAAACACACCAATTTGATTTAGGTGGTATGTTAGTTTATTTAGCTAGGCGAAAGCGGAAGTGTACAAACACACCAATCGAGTTGCACTGCTCAACTAGTTGATGTGATGGTCCTCTCTATTGAATAAAGTTAACGTTTCATGATTGAGCGCACCACGACATTACACCGTTGTTACTAAAAACATGTTTCCTACCGCCCCAAGATTTCCATGTGCATTGTTTTTATGTTTCGTTAATGCAAAGCATAGAATCACTAAGAAACTGGTAGACCTCATGCAAATGACTAAAAAATATTGTAGTGACTTCAATGGGCATGTCAAATGTTTATCATTCATTAGGTACAAGACACAGCAGTTTCATGTCAATCCAATGGTCTGTCCTCAAGGATTTAACGGCCAAATGTTTATCATTCATTTTATTAGGTAGAAGACAATAGTTTAAGGAATTCCAATGGTCCTGTCCCAGTGGTAAGGAAATACACACGATCATATAGGCAAGACAGTTTAATGACAATGTGTATCTTACAGTACACATGCCATGCTTTGATCTTTTTCAGCAGCCCGGATTACAAACCTTTTTACTCTGCTAGCATCAGCCAATTAGGTTGAATCTTGAGCACCAGACCGATTATGTAAATAAAGAATGTTCAATCTAAAATTCACAAATTAAATACTGCCAGGAGACGAGAACATTTGAAAATTGAAATAATGCAAACTAACTTATTTCTTTGTTCATAACATTACAAAACTCGTCTGTCAGCCACTCTCCACAAAGTAGTATAACTTATATCAACAAAAGAATGCATATCAACACAAGTAACTTTGTGATAAACAATATCCCCGGGTCTGTACGTAGCTGTAAATAACGCCACCTGCCTATAACTTAACAGACAATTGGTGGCAGTGGCACATCCGTATTCTCAAAAACACGGGTCGTGGTATTTCTCTGTTTCTACAAACCTTCCACTTTCCTAGCAGTTGATGCCACATGTTTGAGTATCTGGGCCAGTGACACGGGTGGTGAATGGGTCGATGCGAACCCACAGCAAGGAGAAGATCGACGCCAACAGGATTGCCCAGACAACCACGATGGTCGGGGTGCGGTTTTGCCGACCCATGAGACCCTTGAGGAATGGGTACAAGTGAACAATCACCCAGAAGGCGAAGAAGAGCTTGCCAAAGAGCGGCCCCCATGACTGGTAACCGCTGTTGATAGCGTAGGAGATACCAGCAACAACACCGACCAGGTTGATGATCAGAATGGTCGTTGGCGGGATCAGAAGGGTTGTCCACTTGAACATGTACAGCTCCGCAAAGTCACCGTCTTCATCTGAGGCCTTTGAGGTGACAGTGAAGTTGGTGTCGATACCGGCAAGCACCTTGAGGAGACCCTGGAAGACGGCGAAAAGGTGGGCAGAGATACCTCCAATGACCCAGAATTGTTCATTCCTCCACCACTCGTCAATTCCAACACCACTCCACCTCATCTCGAGGATACCAGTGGCAAAAATTGAAATAAAGAGAGAAATGAACCAAATACTAGCCAAGTTGCTAATCTGCATTCCAAGATAGATTCCATCAGTATCGTTGTTCAATGCTCCTCGTAATAAAGAACACTCTTATGTAACCCATGCTTACCTGTGGGATGATGAACTTCCCAGTGAGCAGACAGATGGCAGGCAGAATACAATAAATGAGAAGTGGGATTGACGTGAGCGGGTAAATGGTGGTGTTGATGTAAGCAAATCTCTCCAAGAACTTCAGGCGTCCTCCATAGCCATACCATAAGGGGCAATGCCGACTGAAAAGAATTTCCACAGAACCAAGAGCCCACCGGAGCACTTGGTTCAGACGATCTGAAAGATTGATGGGAGCAGATCCCTTGAAAGCTGGCCGCTTAGGCATGCAGTAAATTGACCGCCAGCCTCGTGCGTGCATCTTGAATCCAGTAAGAATATCTTCTGTCACAGAACCATAGATCCACCCAATCTGCAATTTGAAATAAACTTGTTAATGCTAACCAAAAAATAGTCTTACTATTGCTAACTTTAACATATGGTTATCAAATTGCAATAATAGAACAGGAAGTGTGCTCTGAACTAAAAGCAAGAGCAGAAACAGATTTTCCCCCTCCAAAACATTTGATTCATCCATGTTTTTGCATTGAATGGTTTCTCCATTTTATTCTTATTGTTGAAGAATTTAAGAGTTTGTTCTGGTTGTCGACCAAGCCAAGCAGGATTCCAGAAAATTTTGCATTCCTGGCTGTCTAGCACAGATTCAGTGTGCTCAGGGTTACATGTTACTCCAGTTCCCAATGTATATCTGTGGCTTTCCCCCTATTGTTTCCATAGGACAAATCAAAACAGTATTGATGTGAGGATTGTCACGTTACCTCAGTTCCCCATTCAGTCTTGTCCTCGTAGCCACAACTTATAACATGGATAGCTTCTTTCAGAAGAGATTCCGGAGTTGCAGACTGAGGAACACCACCATATTCCATCAGAGTGGAGGCAACAAAAGCTGCTGATTGGCCAAATCTCTTCTCCAAGCTCATTTGAGACATAAGAAGTGATTTCTCATCATCAAATCCAGCGCCTGCCAGATATAAAAATGACAGCATGAGTACATGTTTGAAACCCCAAAATATACAAGAAAAACAGCATAAGACAGAAAGGTACACTTTTCAGAAACTAAACATTAGTCTTAACCATGAACATCTAAAAACATAAAGGTGTACCTTCAACTCCTCCTCTATATCTTCAAGATTGAATACTGGCACAGAACTGTCCACATGCTTCTGTGACTTTTTCTTCTGTCTGAGCCCTTCTTCTTCTTTGATTTGCTTGCCTTCTTCCTGCCACCACATAGTGATGACAAGAAACCACCCTTCTTCTTTTGCTTAATTGGGGGCTCATAGCCATATAGAGCTGTTCTGTTGAAAACACAACCAGTTCCCACATAAACTGGTCCTTGGATGCCATCAAGACCTCTCAAGTTAATCTGTGGTAAACAGAAATGCCCCAAAAATTCAATTAGAAACTTTAGAATTCGTGCACAGTAGTCATAACATCGATGGAGAATATTAAAGCACAATTTGTGGCTTACATCGAAAAACACGGTGTTCCTGTTGGCATATCGATCATTCCTATCAATACCATCGAACCTCTGGGGAAACTGAACGTAGCAGACACTCCTTCCTAGGTTAGGGTCCATAAGGAAGCACATAGCTTCCCTGAGAGCCTTACTGTTGTTGATGTAGTGATCACAATCAAGATTCAACATGTATTGTCCATTGGTAAGCACAGCTGAGACACGAACCTGTGAAAAAAGAGAAATCCACCATCACAACCAACATATTGAAGTGAAGTTGATAGTTTTGCACTGTTTGCAATATAACTACTTACAAGAGCATTCATGGCACCAGCTTTCTTGTGATGCTGGAATCCAGGACGCTTTTCACGAGAAACATAGACCAAACGGGGTAACTCATTGCCCTCAGTATCAAGGCCACCACTGTGACCAAGGAAAACCTAAGTATAATCAGAAAGAGGAGTTAGTAAAACAAATTCCTTTCAAGAGAAAAAAAGGGGAAAAAGAACTATTATCAACCACATTAGCAGACAACTGAGTAACAGAAGTTTCATTTTGTAGATGCTAACCTGAATCATTCCAGGATGGTCCCTGGTATTGTTTCCTGGCCATGGTGTGCCATCTTGCATGATCCATCCTTCCTCGGGAACTTTCTGTGCCTTAGCAACAAGGCCATTTACCCTAATTTTGAATTCTTCATATTCTCTCTGCCATGATTTTTTGTTAAGACACATCAGTGTTGGATTACAACTAGAAAATCAATATATAGATGTTCACAAAGAAGACATACCTTCATGGCCCGGCGGTCTTTAACAAATGAAGGGTGCACTTTGTCCTTCAAGTAATCAATTTTCTGGGAGAAGTACCATTCAGGAGCTCTAGGTTCAATGTTGTACTTCTTAACAAATGGTACCCATTTTCTAGCAAACTCTGAAGTCTCAGCTAGTGCATCAAATGTCAGCATTGCAGCTCCATCATCAGATACATAGCAAGACACCTTATCCACAGGGTAATCCACAGCAAGAATGGATAGCACGGTATTGGCAGTGACAAGAGGAGGCTCCTTCATTGGGTCGACTGTACTGACGAAAATGTCAACAGCAGCCAACTGAGATGGCTCACCTTCCCGGTCATACCTGTTAGAGGAAATGGAACAGTAACAAACATAAGTGATATGAACAAATTTAGTTTGTGTTTGAACAACGTACTAGAGAACTGGAAAAGAGATCACCTTAATGCCAGCCTATCAAGGTAAGTCTCCCGGTTGATTGGAAACCACTTCGGGAACTGATCCAATATCCAGGAAAGAGCGAACCAGATCTCACATATAACAGATAGAAGCCATAATGGGTATGCATTGCGCACAGGATTTGTGATACGGTAGTGCAAGAAGATGCTTAGAACAATCAATCGTAGCACAATAACCATCCTGTATGGATTTATCCTGGAGGAAGGAAGTGGAACTTTCCTAGATAGAGGCTGGCGAGTTTCATCGTTCCTGCAATTCAGATGGCACAAATTAATGTTCAAATATGTGTTGAAGAAAATATAGCAATAAAGGGTTGGACTGACACAATTGCTCACTGTTACAGTGATTTGAGCGTGACAGGTTTGTGCATTTTAGTTAAAGTTATATACGTTTACCAATTCTAAGATATAAATACAATGTTCTGCTTTCTAGGCTAAAGTACACCCTTCACTTTGATTTTGTACTAATCCTGAGAATAGAATAAGTGTGACCTTCCATAAAAGTGTAAACAGGTCATTAATTTGGGAACATAAAGGCAAATCTCCAACTCTTACATTCATCTGCACAGAGGAAATAATTCAAGCTTTTTTCCCCTTTTTTGTGAATGTACCTATGCTAATTAAAGAAAACATTAGAACTAAACAACATATGATCCTGTAAAACATGAGTGAGCTGAAGGAGGGTGTTGGAACTCACAATAAGGCATCTTCCATGTTGTAATCAGTTGATGCATCAATATCACCAACACCCCGACCCTCAGAGGGAGCAATGCTTGTGCCATTTGTCATGGGAATTGTTCCCTTATCCTGCTTCATTTTCCAGCCATCAACCCTCTCTTTCCAGGCAACATTCCCAATGCTACCAGAGAATTCCCTTGACGGATTTGCTGGCAAGGAGCAAGAAACAATCATTAGATCTTCACATCAAACAGGTGTAATCTCAAACATGAGAGACCATGGCGAGAAATAAACATACGTGAATGATTCACATAGGGAAATGGAGCACGCTTGCCAATGTTCCCAGTAGGGGACATCATATGATGGTCAGGAGAAGCACCAGGGATTTCTCCCGAGATCTGCAGATCAATTCAGAAAGTAAGCATCATTGCATATCTGAAGAATTTTTAGCACAATGCCTTAATAGTAGTGGCACCAACCTGGCTGTTAGTAACTGACGGGATGTATCCCCGAGGGATCTCACCACTGTCATACTTGGTAAGCCCGATCTCGCCACTGTCATACTTGGGGCGGACAACATCCCCACTGCCCCCAGTGTTCATGCGCCAGCTGCGCATCCTGTCAGCAATCTTCTGCTTCTGGTCTTCATTGCCAGATGCAGGGTAGTTGAAGTCGCTAGCATCATCAGCATCAGTTTCATCTCCTTCCTCCCCACGGATCGCCGGGCTCCCTGAAGAATTCATACAGTTCAGAGAATGCTTAACAAAACCCGCCAATCATCTTTTGCTATTCTTGAGCAAAAAAAAGTCCCGGATGTCACATCATATACAACTCCAGTTACTATTTTCCCCTAACTACAATTTAACAGAATTCACACGAAGACAAGACTAAGCCATGCTACAAGCTAAAATAGGATCCAGTGATAGCGACGGAGCTAATATGCCCTCTCTGACCGAAAATGCCATGTGATCCATCACAATTAAAAACAATACCATTTTTGCTGCTCCTGATCAAAGATCCAAACTTTCCTAGTCACTCCAGAATCGGGTTCGGAGACAGCTAAGATCAAACAAATGGAATGGGAGAAGAGACTGTAAATTTACCCTTGTGGCGCTTGTACTTGGTCTTGCACTGGGGGCACGCTTGTGTGCCGTCCTTGCGCTCGTACTCGTAGCAGGGGCGGCACACCGGGAACCCGCAGACGTCGCAGGCGGTGAAGACGTCCCCCTCCGCGGTGGTGCCCACGCCGTCGCCGCAGATCTGGCACACCTGCCCGCCACCGCGCCTCCCCGACTTCTGCACACGCATACACACAGCGGATCACAAGATTCAGTCTTTCTCTCCCAAGATCCACCCCCAACACGAAACGGAATGCAGCTGGGGATCTCCCGCCACTCACCACGCCGTCCGCGTCGCCCTCCATGGCAGGCGAGCTCGCCAAGAACCGACGAGGGAGCTTGGCCTAGGCAGAGCCGAGCCGACACGAGCCGGCACCACCCCGAGATCCGAGCAGGGGGGGGCACGGATCAGCACCGCATCTCCCGCTGCGAGAGCGCTGCTGGTACTAGTAAGTAGTAGTGGGGCGGAGCGGGGCGCGGGCTTAACTATGCGGTGGGGAGGAGGAGAGAAAAGGACAGGGCACCGCACCGATGGAGGAAGCCGCGGCAACGTGAGTTGGTTCCGCTGTCGCTTTCGACGCGAGGGATTAAGAATTGACACAAGATTATTGCAGCGGGCGAGGCGATTTTGATTCTAGTTAATCTTGCGTGCGTCTGGTGGGATGGGTTTCGGGATTAGTTTAATGCCGAGCTGGCGGGGAGGCGGTGTCGGGGAGAGTGTGCCAGTGAGGCGGGAGGTGGAAGAAGGGTGAGCTGGCGCCGTGCGGGCCCCGTGTGGCAGTGAGAGCTCACTGTCGGTTCCTGAGCACCGACGGAAGATATGCTGGGCGTCGGACTAATTGGTAGGTGCACAAGTGTGAAATGTGGCATGTGTGCTCCCATAAAATAAGCCCAATGGCTCGTCATTACTGAGCTAATTATTTTAGATAGAACAATGATAACATTGGAGTAATTCCTTTTTTATGACAGGTTCTACTGCTACCGAAAAGCAAAAGGTTATGTAATGCAAGACTGCTAGGGTTATTATATGTAACATACTCTATAATATTGTACACAACAAGATTTGTGTTATTTTGGAGTAATAGTTATTGTTCTCTTCCATACGTCTCATAGTGCCAACAATATATGCGGTTATTTAGATATTTTCAACGGGTAACTATGTTCCTTGGATAGTTTCTACAAAAAAAAAATGTCAAATCATATATCTTATCTCCCTATCATATACTCCCTCTGTCTCATAAAAAGTGTCATTCTCGCTTTTCAAAAAGTCAAAAAAATTAACTTTGCCTAAATATATACATGAAAATATTTATATTTATATTGCATAATTAGTATCATTGGATAGATTGTTGAATATATTTTTATAATAAATTTATTTTTTCTACAACTCTAGTCAAACTTAAAAAAGTATGACCAGAACGAGTCCCAGAGCGACTCTTTTTATGGGACGGAGTAATACCTGCACATCTGTTCATGTCTTTGTTTTTCTAGTGTAGACTTGGTTTCTTATCTCAGGAACCACTTCCTCAGCTCTCTTCTTTAATTGAAGTGTCACATCATCTTTTTTTCTTAGTTGGCATCATAATTAATAATAAAGATATAAACCATCTAGTTTCATGGTTGTGAGTGACCTTATAGCATCCCAATGCACCTCTCTTTTCTTGGTATATGTTTCTCTTTTTTCAATACATATCTATCTCCGTCTCTCTGTCTCTCTTATTTTTTTCTATGCAGCACATGTTTTCACTCCTCATATTTTTCCATGTTCAAACCTATAAGATCATTTATTTTGGAATGGAGGGAGTAACATACTCCTACACTATAATATTGTACACAACAAGATTTGTGTTTTTTTTGGAGTAATAATAGTTATTTGTCTCTTCCGCACGTCTCTCAGTGCCAACAATCACCTCGTTAAATTTGGTAGGTTCAATAGTGGACAGCTGGTTTATTTCAAATGATTCAATAGTGTTTTGTGAGAGAGAATAAGCTGAAACAAGCTGAAACAAGCTGAAAATAGTACATCCGAACAGACAGAATATCTAAGGTTATTAAAATATTTGCAACCGTTAAACACTTAGGGGTTCCCAACAAATATAAAGACACATGACGAAAAAAATAACTATTGCAAAGTTATAATATAATTGGATATTTATTAATAGTTGGTATTAAATGTGTATAGTATTACCATGATATAGATGTAGTATACTCTAGGTAATGGGTAAATTAATACGGAGTACAACATGGCTATGGATACATTACTTGGATATATGGTAGTTGCAAGAATTGATGGAAAATGTGATCATATATGGTACGGTACATCATCACCACTACTCTAAGTGGGGTAAGGTTGTCCTTAACCAAACATGGTCTCATAAATAAGTGCGTTGCATTCCATCACGTAATTCTCTCACCTCATTCATGCTCGAAAAAGAAATATATATATATATATATATTTTTTATTTATTTATTTATATAAATGCCATGACATCATGTGAGGGGAGCCTCACACCGGAGTGGTGAAGCTAAATATATTTGTTTTTGTATTCAACGGTAAGAGTGGCCCAACCATTTTATAATACCGTGACGAAATGTGGTTGCGGTCAGGAAATTTATCAGCTGCGAGTTCATAAGCAAATCGCGGCATAAACCGCACGCTGTGCTTGCTAATCCAGGGGGCTGACGCATGGGACCAAGCAGTAGCAGTAACAGCCAACCGACAGGTAGAGAGAGTCCCTGGGTATCTCTGGCTGTGGCCCTAGCGACCGACACGAAAAGGTCGTGGGCCCACATGGTAGAGACACTCCACTTTTCTTTTTTGCTGCCGTGTGCCTGTGCGTGCTATAGCAGGTGGCGCCGTGAGGTGTGTGGATCTCGTTTTCAACTTTCAAGCAGCCGTGGGCCGTGGGCCGTGGCGTGTGGCCAGAGGCAGAGAGAGGAGAGAGTCCTCCGAGCCTCCTGTCACCGACACACCCCCACGCCGCGGTGGTTGGCGTGGGTCGAGAGGTGGAGCCCAGCCCCAGGGCCAGGGGCATTCCCGTCACTCCGACACACAACCGTTACGTGCAGCTCGAGGCTTCTGGTGTGGTGCCCGTGTGTCGTGGCAGCGGCCAGAAGGAACACCGACCTTATTCGCTTCAATTTATTAGCCATATCGTTTTAGTAAAATAATAATATTTTTTTCTAACAGCAAATTAGCATCGTCATCCAGCGTCAACCGTTTTGCAGCAGAACACGGGTGGCAGGTGGGGCCCGGCTGAGAATACTTCAAATCGCTGCTTGCTCACTCCCGTCGGGATTGCCAATTTTTCTATTTATTACCGGAGAGGCAGCCTACTCCTTCGGGCTCTGGCCTTTTGCCACAGGTCAATCTCGGTCAGGAATGGCAACCTTCAGCTAACTTATCAACCGACTTTAATATCAGCCGAACAGATCTGGATTACGACCGTACTAGTACTCCTACTACTACTTCCGATCAGGAATGGCACACGGGCGCACATCTTCAATTTTTGTCGTTGATGTGTAATACACCATCATTCTAAATTATAAATCATTCTAAGAAACTTAGAGAGTCAAAACATCTAAGTTTGACCAAATTTATATAATAAGATAATAATATTTATGATATCAATTAAGTATCATTAGGTTCTTCACTAATTATATTTTTATAGTATATTTATTTGATGTCATAAATCTTTATAATTTTTTCTATAATTTTGGTCAAACTTGAAATGCTTTGACTCTCCAAGGTTCTTAGAATGACTTATAATTTAGGATGGATGGAGTATATATTTTCAAAAATTAGAATTAAGTTACCTGCCAACAAAATTTATTGTAAAATTCAAATAAATTTATAAGGGTATGTAATGGCTGGTGCTTACTTTGTTGTGCCCTCATAAAGTCATAAAAATGTGGTTCAAAAAGTTTCTTCAAAACTAAAATATGTCCATTAACTATTTATCTTGGTATATATAACATATTACTAGTCGCTAGGTATATATAACATATTACTAGTCGCTATACAAAATCAATATCATAATAAAGACTTTTAGACAGCTGAATGTGCTTGTAATAATTCGGTTAACCATTGCTGAAACTTAAAAAAAAAATTGGCTTTTGTTTGACCTTGGTACGTCCTAAAATTTGAAAACAAAACAGAGTAGCATCATATAGCACCCTCAAAAGGGAACGTACTTAATTTGGCCTGCCGTTGGTCAAATTTATAAAGTTTTACTTCTCTTTGAGCCAAATACGTCCTAAGTAGAAACGTAAAACAATAATTTTTTAAAGCTTCACCAGTGGCTAACCATTGCATGCACATTCAGTGGTCTAAAAGTTGTATCCATAGGTTCATATTTCACATATCTCCCTTTATGAGATTGATTTTGTAGCAACTCGTAAACTTTTCAAGAACATTCGATTTTTTTTCCAAAAAAAACTATGGTGGTATATATTTACCCAAAAAGAAATATCATGGTGAAAAGTGTTCGCTACAGGATGTCGTACGCATCAATCCATATACGGACATACGGTAAACCATCCATGCATGCTCCAGCACGCAACTAAAAAAAAAAGTGCAGAGAGCCAGTGGAAAAGTTGATGGGAATCCCTGAACGGCAGCACCAAGCGGATCAAGCGTATAACAATGCAAATTAATCAATAGCACAATATATTATTCATTAACCATGCATGCATGGGACAGCTCAGACAGAGGGGCAGCACCTGACTCATGTGCATGATTGACTTGCCTGTGTTGTTTTCCTGTCAAATAAGAAATGGTTGGAGGAAAGCTAGCGCTGGTTCATGGTTGATTGGGTTCCTAACCAGCAACCCCCAATGACCCCATGCACATGTGCCTGAAAAAGAAATCAGGGCCTCGTTTAGATTGCAAATTTTTACAATATGGACACTGTAGCACGTTTCGTTTGTATTTAACAAACTTTGTCCGATCATGGACTAACTAGGCTCAAAAGATCCGTCTCGTGATTTACAACTAAACTGTGTAATTAGTTATTTTTTTTACCTATATTTAATACTCCATGCATGCGTCCAAAAATTGATGTGACGAAGAGAGAGTGAAAAAACTTAGAATTTGGAGGTGATCTAAGCTCAGGGATTGTTCTCCGTCAGATTCCATGCGTTCCGATTCTGCATTGCCGGCCTGGCAGTGTCAGAAGATACTGAAAAACAAATCAGAGAAGAAGAGTGAAGTGACAAACAAGACATGGGCACTCAACCGCAGCAGATTCCTTTGTGTTACATACAGTACATGTACATCCTGTATATAGGCCTATAGGGATCAGTA